TTCGAGTTTACATAAATTTCATGTCATTGATACAGGAGCATTTTGCGTTTTAAATTTTTACACATGTACACGATTAAATTACCAGCGTGTCGCGTCATGTACGTAATGTGTAATTCACTCGATCGAACGACCTAATTAACACTAAACGTACTGATGCTTCATGTATACCTATTTCTATTAAATGACCCGTCTGCAAAGTCATATATTTTACGATGTACGTATAGCAAAAGATGTACCATTTAATACAATTTGGTGTGTGATTGAAACAATTTTTCTTTTTGTCCAAATAGCGATTGTAATTCGTTAATTTATTCAATTTAAAAAATGGATAAAAATAAGAGACATAAAATTTAACACAAAATTTCCATTTATTTCTGAATATTTAGAAGTGAACAGTATGCAAACTTTATTCATAAACTTTGTCAAAATTTATCGAGAAAACAGGAAGCGTTATAATTCTCATTTTTACCAGTCGTATCGTATTCTCGAACGTGTGTTACGTACACATATTGTCTGTAATATATACACGTATAAAGCTGCGAATGTGTTTGCATGCGTATAATTTTTCATCCATATTTTTCCTCAAATTACAAGAAATCCTCTTTCGGTTTAAAGCTATCCGATGTGCAAGTAATCCTTGTATCACGGACCAGGCAAGACATAAACTTCTGTCCCGTCCCGAACGAGACCTCTATTACCATAAACGTCAAAATGTTTACGCGAACGGGTTTGCACGGGCTTCGTCCTGGGCCATTTGCCATTTCCATGCTTGATGTTCGTCGCATTCTCTCTAATACCGCAGTCTACTCGCTTTCACCATACACACCAGTTTCGCGAATTTTAATCGCACGATTACAATTCTTTGTCACGCGTCACAGAAATCTATCGTTTCCATTTGAGATTTAAATTTTCACGGAACCTCCTGTTTGTTTGAAACCGCCTATGTCACACGTTGCAGCACGCATTTCTGCGTTCTTCAAATTTTCCACGAACGCGTGAAAATACCGCGGTTTAATCATTATTTACGAGTTATCGTGCAGCTGATCGAACGTCACATTACGCATTCCGAAACGTATCGTGGCAAATGACTTTCGTATGGAAATGATATTGTTTGGATATATCTCGCGTCAAACGTTGAGGCAAGTTTGTGTCATTTGTCTGACAAATTGCACGCACGTTGCATATTAATAAAACGACAGTTTTTAACGAACTATAGCGTCCTCGAAGGTCTGAGATTCTCCGAAACGACCTTGTAAACGCGACTGTTAATTGATGAGCGTGCGTGATGACCCCGTGACACATGGGAAATCTTCGAGCGAGACGCGAGTTAGTAATAGATTGCATAGAATTTTTCATGAAAGAATGGAATCTCTCGACGTTGTGAGATTGGACGGTAACTCGTTTGAATGAGACACTATTATCTGATAAGACAGAATTTTGGAATAATTTCACGTGACGACAGAAAACATAAATTTATTCTCAATACAAATGTCTATATTACAAATTAATGAACTTGCTAAATTGCACGTGTATTCGTGTTACCAGGAATAACGCTTTCATTGTACAACAGCAATTAGATTTATTATCTTGCTGATCGTGTGCAGAAATAAAAACATCAATCTTACGAATGCAATTACTATTAATTTTTTCGAGTGTTTGTTACCTCTCCACATAGAGAAAGTAATGTGTTTGAGATAAAGAAACATTTTTTCGATTCCTATATATTTTTTCTTCTCCACTAGATTTATTACTGATACCGAGGAAATTGTTGTATTTTCACTATTTCGAAGATACAAAAAGTCTTCGAACACTGATAACATAATACAAAACATTTCAACGTTTAATTTTATTAAATATATCATAAAAATTAATACAAATATATTGCATCTGATTCTATACAGCAAATACTAAAAGTGAGTTCATTGAATATGTTACTAGTTAATAGTAGAATGATTAACTATATATACTTTGGTGATCTTATAAATAATTTATAACTCCAATATACAGTTTCAGATTTTGTCATACGCAATTATTTAGAATAAATGATTTACTTTCCTGTCCAAACTTTCAAACATACATTTTCAAATTCCACAAACAGTATTATTGCAGTAGTATTATTTGTAACTTCTGTATACATTTCTAAAGATCCAACTATGTAATTCTACATACATTTTCAAATTTTGCGATAGACAATATTATTATAACAAATACATTCCATAAATGCAGTATTATCTGTAATATACGTACATTTCCAAATATATAATTCTACACAAATGATATTATCGTTAATAATATACAATATTATTTGTAACTTCCACGTACATTCCCAAACATCTTAATATAACTTTATTATAAATTTTCAAATTTCGCCAGTGCCAATAATGAAAGAAATGTCGAACGAATGAAACTCCTGTTTCTAAAAATAGCTAAGCTACTGCAAATACCTAATCTTTTCCGCGATTAATCGGGACTAACAATAAGATATACCGGCGATTACGCGTAGAGAGACAGCTACAATCATGCAAGCGAGGTTAGATCGCGATCATGCACACGCTTGCGTCGTTAATCCTCGAAACTCCACGGCCGCTTCGTTTTACATCGGCGGCGACGTTCCAATTTCACGGCGTTTATCGAGACGTAATTTTCATAGCCAGCCGAATGAACGCGTCCGCACGCGCAAGGCTGAACGAGCTTGAAATTATCTAGCGCGCCCGATAACCGCTGACAGAGGCGCACCTTTGTCATCCGTGGAAATTATGGCCGCCCGCGCGAGAACCGCGTGAAAAACAGAACGAACAATCGCCGATGGTTAGATGTAATTTGACACGGTTCCCTCTAATCAACTGGTCGTCCCATCAATTTACCTACGCGTGTCAATGGAAAATTTCAAATTTTCTCCTTTGTATTAGAGGATATATCTGGATGTCTTCAGTTTAGAGATGTTGATGGAGAATGAAAGTATCTAGGAGATATGTGTTTAATTGTCGATTTTATGTGGTAAAAGATCCTTATCTTTTATGTGGTAAGAATCCTTATCTAGGACAAAGGGCTATAAATAAATATATAAATAGCCTGAATCGACCAAGAAAATTCCTTGGAAAATCAACTTCTGTTTTGGAGTTGGGAAATTTCAAATCTCCTTTATATCCAGCTTAGAGATGTTGATAGAAAGATAAAAGTATCTGGGAGATTAATGTGAGTTTAATTGCTGATTTTGTTGCATGGTAAGAAATATTAATCCTTGGAAAATCAATTCTTTTTTGGAGTTAGAAAATTTGGATTTAGAAAATTTCAAATTTTTTCACTTGTATCCAGTTCAAAGATGTTGATAGGAGGATAAAAGTATCTAAGAGATAATTGTGGATTTTGTGCGTTTAATTGTGAATTTTGTTGCGTGAAATATTAATCCTTGAAAAATCAAGAAAATTCCCTGAAAAACCAATTCTCTTTTGGAGTTGGAAAATTTGGATTTGGAAAATTTCAAATTTTCTCCCTTGTACCCAGTTCAGAGATGTTGATAAGAGGATGAAAGTATCTAGGAGATATGTGTTTAATTGTCGATTTTGTTATGTGGTAAAAGATATTAATCCTTATCTAGGACAAAGGGCTATAAATAAATATATAAATAACCTGAATCGACCAAGAAAATTCCTTGGAAAATCAACTCCTTTTTTGGAGTTGGGAAATTTCAAATCTCCTTTGTACCCAGCTTAGAGATGTTGATAGAAAGATAATAGTATCTGGGAGATTAATGTGAGTTTAATTGTTGCGTCGTAAGAAATATTAATCGTTGGAAAATCAATCAAGAAAATTCCTTGGAAAATCAATTCTTTTTTGGAGTTGGAAAATTTCAAATTTTCTCCCTTGTACCCAGTTCAGAGATGTTGATAGGAGGATGAAAGTATCTAGGAGATATGTGTTTAATTGTCGATTTTGTTATGTGGTAAAAGATATTAATCCTTATCTAGGACAAAGGGCTATAAATAAATATATAAATAGCCTGAATTGACCAAGAAAATTCCTTGGAAAATCAACTCCTTTTTTGGAGTTGGGAAATTTCAAATCTCCTTTGTACCCAGCTTAGAGATGTTGATAGAAAGATAAAAGTATCTGGGAGATTAATGTGAGTTTAATTGTTGATTTTGTTGTATGGTAAGAAATATTAATCCTTGGAAAATCAATCCTCTTTTGGAGTTGGAAAATTTGGATTTAGAAAATTTCAAATTTTTTCACTTGTATCCAGTTCAAAGATGTTGGATAGGAGGATGAAAGTATCTAGGAGATATGCGTTTAATTGTCGAGTTTGTTGCGTGGTAAGAAATATTAATCCTTGGAAAATCAAGATCTTTCTGGAGTTGGTCTTCAAATTCCACATTGGTTGAATTTATTACTAAATTTTTAGAGATCACGAAAACTGCAGATCCTCTAAAAGATTAGCTACTTTTTTTCTAGATTTATAAATCCAGCACGCAATTTATTTTACATAAACGAATGATATTAAAACTTCTCACATTTATTATATAAAATCAACGAATTAATTCCATCTAATTCAGTCGTCACTTGTTCACTGCTCAATTTTCATACACCCGGTATCCCGCTTCACGAAGATTCACGAAAAAAAAAAAAAAAAAAAGAAGAAATTGTAACACGCGATGCCAAATCAAAGCGCGTAACGCGAGTAAACGACAGCACAGGGGGGCAGCGTGTAAAACGCTAGCTCGGGGAACATTAGATTCCTACTTACAGATCCTACTTAAAGGCTTAGACAGACAGATAAACAGATAGATAGATAGATAGATAGTTAGATAGATAGACAGGCGGCGGAGATACATATGCTTGCATAGTTTCATATACCCGGCAGATATAGGGACACGAGGATATACACGCGCGTATAGGTCGGTCGTGTCGCTTGCGCTACGCCATAAGGCTGTTTCGTAATTTAATGCGACCTTATTAGCAGGATGAAGGCACACGAATAACCGGCGCTGTTCTGATTCCAGCAACTCTCCTTTCCATCTACGCAATCCAGCCATGGATCGACAGGGTTTACGTTCAGCCTTTCCGGCAATCAAGACATCGGCGGCCCTCAGGCTGGCTTCGAATGTATCCAACAAACCAGCGCTCGGTAAGTGACTCGTTAAACATCGTGTACGTAGAGATTTGCTGCACTTTTTCCACAAATTTTTTGCTACAATTACTTAGATAACATATTTTATCCATCATTGATACGCATATTTGACCATAACTAAATAAATATGTCTCTCGGTGTTTTTTTTTGTTTTTTTTTTTAATGTTAAACCGAAACAAAATAATCTCTCTCACTCTCGTGCTCTGACAATTTTACTTTGATAATGGTTCTTACGTATTTCTTATAGTGATTGTCAGTTGTCATTAAAAATTTGGAATTATTTCACTTGTATCACTCAACTAGATCATAATTGTAAAATAATGTCTCGTGAAAGAAGTAGTAGCATTGGTGATTTTCGTGCCATGATATTGAAGGCAATATAGTACAATGGAACCTCGTTAAATTACTTTTATTTTTTTGATGCTTTGTTACCAATCGAATGGACACTTTCTTTTTTTTTTTTATTATAATAATTTGTTTCGAGCAAGTATCTTTCGTTATTTAAATTTAAATGATACTCCTTATTTGTGTTCTTTTCAAGTAATATCAATTCAATGTAAACGATTAATTCTAAATGCTATGTATTTCACACTTCCATAATTAAAAAGAAATAAATAAATAAAGGAAAACAACAAACGGTTCATTTTATTATATTGAAGATATTTCTCAGTTAATTACTGAGAAATTAAGCAAAGAAGTTAACCTTTTCGCATTCGTCGATTCCAACCCAAGTGGTTAATAGAAATGTGACTTTCTTGGCGGGAAGTGAAAGTTTATTAACACGGACGTTAATTGACAATTTACAACATATTCAACTGCTTTTGATTGTTGATTTGTTAAAATTACCTGGAAGATGGAGTGGCTTGTTGCAATAACAGGCTCTTCAATTGTCTGTAAATTATGGATTTTTATGCAGTTATGTAGCTTATTGTAGTAAGTTGTTTGTTTAGTGAATTATTTTTATATTTATAGTTTTATATTTTATATTTTTATATTATTATTTTTATTTATATTTTTATAGTTTATAATAAACTATTATTTATATTATATTATATATTATATTATAGACATTACTCTATCTATTATGTTATTATGTTATAGCGTTTAATATGTATTTCATTCTATAGCAATTCTTATTAATATTTTATCCATCACTGATACGCATACATATTTGACCATAACTAAATAAATATATCTCTTGGTGTGTTTTTTTAATGTTAAACCCAAACAAAAGTTCAAATTTCATCTGTAACGAATCTCAGTATCATCGAATGGTATTTTCATACAAATATAAAAATATGAAAAGATAAGAATCTAAGAGAGAGAGAGAAAAGAAAAGAAACGATTCACTATAAAATAAGGATGTGATGCAAATACTTTCTCTAGCCATTGTATTTCTAACGAATAAACGCAGAAAATCTCATTTTAATCACGTTCAGTCTCTTAAAGTCAATCGCTCGACCACCCGAAGTGTAAAATCAATTTTATTTTCGTCGCCCTCGGTGTGCTAAATTTTCGTGACGTCAGAATCAACGCAGAGAGAAAGAGAGAGAGAGAGAGAGAGTGAGTGAGTGAGAAGGAAGGGAAAAGCAGCGAAAGGAGACTCGTTCTAGCGACTTATCGGTCTCTTTATAGCGGTCCATTTTTCCTCTGCAGGAGCCTGGAGAGCCTTGGCGCGCTGTCGTGTAAAATGCGGATACAGGCGAACGACGATGTATACGAGACAACCAGGCATCGGATGGTCGTCGCCGAGGAGAATAACAAGAATAAATGGTAAGTCCACCCCCGTTGGAAAAGATTACGGGATACGTCGAAGGTTCGGCTTCATCGATCCTACAACGGTGGCCGATTTTTCTTCGGCGAGCTCGTTATCTCGACACACGTGTATACTTATTTACTTACTTTTTTACTTACTTACGCTTTCATCCCTTTATATGCACGGCTCGTTCTGTTTCCAGTGGCTTTCGCTGTTAGATTCGCATACATTTCACAGCTTGGTAAATGTTGGGTCTCACCGAACACAGCGAGGGCCAAACTGAGATCCCGAAAAATAAATTCATCGTGCCAAGAATAAAATCTTTCAAGTTCATTATTTTCTCCGTTCGTGTTTCCCCTTTCTTTCTATCTCATTGTTGTGGTCACGGCTGTTTAATTATCAATAATAATAATAATTCTTATTTTAATTTTACCTTTAATTTATTCATTTATATTAATTATTACATAAATTTATTTAATAATTTAACATAAAAATTTTGTTTTATTTATTTTTAAAATAATTATATTAATTTTATAATTGATAACTAATTTTAAAATAAATTTTTTTAAAATTTATTGTTTTTTTTATATTGAATAAATTGAAATTTATATTAAAAATTTTATATTTTTGTATTTATTCATATTTATTTAAATTAATAACATTTATATATACATATAAAAATTTATTTATCATATAAATAAAATTTAAAATTTTTGTTTCTATAAAAAAATATTTTATATTTATGCAATAAAAAAAATAATTATAATATTATCCCAATTCTAAGGCTCGGCAAGTGTCTTTGTTGCAACCCTAGGACCATTAGAAAATGCAACTATTACAATAGAATCCACATCTATATAAAGGCCACATAAAAATCCACATCTATACAAGTCCAACCCACAAATATTAAGAAACGCGTATACTGACGAGTTGATCTTTAGGAATTATTTGGGGGATGAGATAAATTTCTCAGTTTGTAAAGAAATAAATTTCTCTAGTTTAATAAGGGAATTCGAACGCTGTGAGTTAATGAAACTTATAAAGAAATTCACGAGGAATTTATGCGTATTATTAAATCCGCAGTCTATTTTTCCTCAGGTAATTGAATGAATATCACCAATGCAATGTTCATTCATAATCATGGGTGAATGTTTCTATATGGCTATATCATTCGATAATTATCCAAATCCAGCCAGATCCAAGAAATTCTTCGTCAATCCTGTCAAATGATAGAACCCTAGAGCCCCAGTCTCTGTATCTCGCGAAGAAAAACCACTTGCTGCCCTGTGAAAAAAAACGAGCGTCCGAGTAACGGAAAACGGAAGACCATCAGAATAATAAGTCAGTGTATAGAGGTCGCATCGGGAGGTCAGCTAATTTGTTTAACAGCGTAACGGTCAAGGTTGAAAGCGCCCCACAAGTGCGACTTCGTCCCGGAACCTTTGGTAACCGTCGCTTTTACGTCGTGGATAGAACTCATTATGTATTGTGTGACGCGATTCCCGCGTATAAATTATGTAACGGGGCATGTAACACCCGGCAGATTTTTATATACAGCGTGGAACATTTGTTTTCGAGCACGTTGAAAGATAAACCGTTCGTAGAGTAGTTTTTTTATTCGTCTCGTTCATCTTTGGAATTTCACTAAAAATCACGCGGTGATTGATAGTTATTTTTTTATTGATAGTAGGTTTTTTCTCACCAGAAACACCTCTCGATACAAAGAGCTTTGATTAGCAATTTCTCGTATACACGCTTGAACGGAATTTTTTTCAACTCTACCAATCTGTGAAGATCGCCTGGTCATTGGTCGTTAATCAGAAATTTCTTTGATTAGCAATTTCTCAGTGTACACTTGAATCTTTTTTCTTCTGGTCTTTTTTTCTCAGTTTTTACTAGTCACGTCAGCGTGAAGAATTACGCGACGCTAATCAACGCATCACCAGTCTTTATACCGACGAGAAAACAAACGGAACGCGCGTTTCAACGTCATCCACTCATTGGAGGCTTAATACATGTTAACATTTTCAAGAATCCGCTTAACCGGAATCCATCTGTCTTTGTTAACATTGAATTTTACAATCGCGGAAGTTCACGATCGAAGAAGTAGTTTAGAATTGAAGTAAATTCCAATATCATAAAATTCTGATATCTCAAGGGAGTATTCTAATGTGATGTGGGTGTTTTTTTTAACTTTGTTAAGGGAATTTTTTGCAAAGAGACTATTATACTTTTTGCAGTCGAATTGACAAGGTTTATTTGTACGTATCTCAAAGACGTTTTTCTCAAAATTTTTCGGAACAAAAGAAGTTATAATTAGTGGCACTGCATACTCTCAAACATAGTCGCTTTTAAGGAAGCTCGTCTCACGGTATCCATGATTCCGGCCATTCTACTTGTTTGAAATAAAAAAAAGAAAAAACGTGAATGTTCCTTAATTAGTATGAATTTGGCTATAGCAGATACAAAAGAACAAAAGAAAAAAGTCGGTTTTTAAAAAATTAAAAAAGTAGCGATACTTTGAAATTCGATTATCGATGTTTGCATGTTTTTGTTAAACCTCGGAGGTCTAAAAAATATTTAAAAATAAAAATTTTTGGTTGATTCTGATAGGGGTTGTAGTCACACACGGACTAAATGCGTACTTAAAATTTTGAGTCAATTGGTCAAGCAGATTTTCATCAAGATATCACGGACACCAACATATAGTTTCCAGGAAAATGTCTTTAAAGTTTAGTCAAACAACCATAACTTCGTTAATTTTAAGAGTGCAAGTGTAAAGTTACAGAGATTTATTTTTCAAACTATGTCCTTTAAAAATATGCAAAAAAGAAAAGAAATCGATTTTTTTTCGAAAGTTCACACCTGAGAATACCACCTTAAATAAAAGAAGAAAAAAAAAAAGAAAAAAGAAAAGAGGGATTCCATTGATGTCTCGCGAGGTGCATTGCACTAGTCGCGTAATCCACAAGTCATCAAGTTGTAACACCCGCGGTTACGTAACACCGCGTTTAACAATAACAACGGCGATAATGGGTTTCGCCAGTGGTGGCTGCTTGCGTCGAAAAGGAAAATCGATTAATCACTTTTGTCGTGGAAAGACGATTCCAGTGGATTAGTGCTCGACGTTAGATAGGTAGGAAACTGGCGTCAACCGGAATCTCGATAACTGACGTCAAGGATAGGTTGATTAGCTGTTGACGTTAGGAGATAGAAATTTCTCGTGGCTTGACGCGCGATCTATAGTAGAATAGTCTGCTGGTTTATGTTAATTCTAAACGTCAAACAATTTATTAAATATCATGCGAATATTTAATGAACAAATAAAGGATAAATTCTACGTTCTATTTCACTGACTTTACCCTTTATTCTATGTGCTTTCTATTTGTTTAATTGAAATTAAATATTTGAACGAACGCAATATTAACTTAATGTCGTGTGAATTACATAATGGATGAATCCTATCTTTAATAAAGGATAAATTCTACGTTCTATTTCACTGACTTTACCCTTTATTATCACGTTTTAAAATTAAATTAATTCGATGTGCTTTCTATTTGTTTAATTGAAATTAAATATTTGAACAAACGCAATATTAACTTGATGTCGTGTAAATTATACAATGGATGAATCCTATCTTTAATAAAGGATAAATTCTACGTTCTATTTCACTGACTTTGCCCTTTATTGTCACGTTTTAAAATTAAATTATTTCGATGTGCTTTCTATTTGTTTAATTGAAATTAAATATTTGAACGAACGCAATATTAATTTAATGACGTGTAAATTACATAATGGATGAATCCTATCTTTAATAAAGGATAAATTCTACGTTCTATTTCACTGACTTTGCACTTTATTATCACGTTTTAAAATTAAATTAATTCGATGTGCTTTCTATTTGTTTAATTGAAATTAAATATTTGAACAAACGCAATATTAACTTGATGTCGTGTAAATTATACAATGGATGAATCCTATCTTTAATAAAGGATAAATTCTACGTTCTATTTCACTGACTTTGCACTTTATTGTTACGTTTTAAAATTAAATTATTTCGATGTGCTCTCTATTTAATTGAAATTAAATATTTGAACGAACGCAATATATTAACTTAATGTCGTGCAAATTACATAATGGATGACTCCTATCTTTCATCGTTGTTGTTATTGCGTTTTAGAGCTAAATCGATTCGAGCGCTTTTTATTTCTTTAATTAAAATTAAATCAGAGAATGTAACTCTGCAACACGCTCAGTGCGTTCAACGAAAATTTAAAAAATTCTTTTCCATGCTCAATCGTATTTTCAATGATATTTAGTCATCGTTATTAAATGCTGGAGAATATAATGAGAAATAACTTCAAAAATAACTAAGTGTTAATTGAATTTTTCTGAAAAATTTTTATTGGAATGTAGATTTTTTTTTTCTTAGTGAAACATGAAATCTTAATTGGTAGCATAATTAAATAACAATAAATAGGCTAGCATCATATACATATCGTATGCCAAAGTCGTCAACTAAAAATAGACATGCGCTACGTTTCGATGACTTGATTGATCGATCACCTTGGCTTTTCTGTCACACAAAAATACTTAACGACGGTATGTTAATGCAGCTATGTTAATGTCGTGAGGTTTTTTTCTGCCAACCTAAACAACGCGAGAAAGCGTTTTCAAGAACCGTCAACTTGTGGAAAAGTGCGATCAAAGCTATAGTCAATTCCAATCTAGAAATGACCGGGGTAGAAAAATGTAGGCGTTAACAACTATTATATTTGTTCTCTTTCGCTATGCTCGCGTAGTTTCGCATATGGCACTTTCTACTATGAATATTTAACGCACCAGAGAACTAGTTCATTCACATTGTAGAAGACTCTCGATGATTTTCTCAGCATGGTAAACCATGGTAGGAAAATCGCGGGAAAATAAACGTGAAAATGCAAGAACGTAGTCGATTGTCCATCATCTGGAAGATAACGATTCATTCACTTCAATTCTATTTCATTCGATCTTCATTCTCTGCCAGCGACAACGAATTTAGATAAATTAATAATAAATCAAATATAAAATATAATATATATAAAATATATAATAATCAAATATAAAAGTCTTCCTCAAAATTTTTTTTTTGCCATTGATGAATATCTTCGTTCATTTCTTCGTTTCGCTTGTTATTCTCAATTATGAAACGAATTATTTTGTAGCACGACCGAAGAATCTCTTTCATTTGTGTGTCGTATTATCTAACAATATTTACTAATAATTGGACAAATATCATTTATTAGTATGTACATTTTATGACAATAACGCAACACATTACATTAGACATTAAGATAATCGTAAAATAAAAGTTTGGGTAAATTTTGAATTCAAATTTCGAAAGGAACCTTAATTTATAAAAAGAAAAAACTGTATCTCATAGATATCGACATGCCAGAGGTTGAAAACAATTTATACTGTTAAATTATATCGTTTCTCATGTTGTGTTCGATGGCCTGATATTATTATTTACATAAATGTCATTTAATGTCGCGTGACATTATTGGGGAATGTAGCAGTTCTCTTAACTAGTTTTATTTTCCACCAGTACCAGGGTTATCAAGCCAAATAGACCGGATATCGGGCGGAAAGTAAAAGTGAGAACAACAGTCGGAAGGACTATTCCGCCATCATCATCGAGTTCAAGGCATCGGGACTCGACGAGCATTCCAACTTCCACCAGTCAGTCTAGTGTGTCTTCCTCTTACAAGTCTGCTAACACGTCAAGATCCCGGATTCGAACGGAGAAGAAAATCCCCGATATTATGCGCAGACCGCTAAAGTGAGTTCACTGGAATCTTTTAAGTTTTAGTTTAATCTCGGGGAACATTTATCTGAAAAAAGCAAAGACAGCCGGACAAGTAAAATTATTTGAAGAACGTGGACAAACGTGCGCGCTCTCTTACGAATAATCTTGTAGTTTGTAACGTGAAATTTATAGTCTTCGTTTCATAATTATGATAAACTACGGCCATTGAATAATCGAAACGTTAAAAATGAAAAGTTACGCGAGCCTCTTCTGAGGGTGATTGTGCTTTTTAAGATATGCCACGGGGAATTATGAGAGAATCGTCGTGGTAAAACATGACGGTGTATAAATTTCACGGGCGAATTTTATATTGAGCTGATTTTAATTTCGTTTTGCCAGCCATTAGTGATAAGATTTACGTCGGAGAAAGTTGCGTCAATTTATAGCGACAATTCACAGATTAGTATTGCATTATTCAGAGCGGAAAAGTGACTTTAAGGAAGAAGTTACGTTTAGCAGTTTACTTTTGATAATAATTATCTTCTTAAATACTAATAACAACACCTAAAAGAAAGTAAAGTAAAGTGTCGTTCAGATCGCACAGCTTATTTCAATTCGATTTATTAATTAACGAATTTATTTTTGAATTTATCAGTTAACGAGAAAATAATCATTGATTTATGAAGTTGCTTGAATTCGAATAATGGTTGAATTGAAATAAAAGTCTAAATAATAGTTTTAATTTTTTGTAAATAATTGTAATAAATATCTCGTGTCTTTTTTGCAGGGAGAGATTCATCCACCTCCTTGCTTTGAGACCATACAAGAAACCAGAATTGTACGATCGTTTAATTAGAGGTAAGAGAAATGCGAATTTAACGCTGGAATTACAAGCAATTGAAATACAAAACTTGTGTCAATGAAACGAAAGTGCAAGAAATAGAGTGAGGTCTGTAGTGGAATTTCTATGTTTTATAAAATTAGACAACGTTTTTAATTCTTTAACTCTGGCGTTTGTAAATATTCCTGGAACGTTTGGAGCAGATCATTCAATCGTTATTTTATTTTTTCAGAGGGTGTAAGGGAACGAGAACGCAACATCATGACGATGACTCTGAAGCAGGTTGCTTACATTAGGGATAACACCTATCATCTGCAGAGACACATCTGGAACGATGTGCAAGAAGACTGGCCTTATTATACCGAGCAAGAAAAGGCTTTGTTGAAAAGAAGAAAACCCCAAAATCTCACACCCCCTGGCTCTAGCGACGGTGGATCCAGCGGTACGATCTATTTTCCTGGATTATTTCTGACCTTCGCTTTACTGAATATTCATCGCGGCAGAACAATCTGAAAGTCTGATTACGTTTCGTGAAAGATTATGCTTCTTTGAAAACAATTGCCAATTGATACTTTTTAGTAACTTCTTGAAAGAATTAAGGGTAATGAATAAGTAATATTCTTAACCTGACGATAAAGAATATATGAAACGTTTCGTTTCTTCTCATTCAAAATCACTATTGGTTACCGACGATATTAATAATCTAACAGTTTAAAAAATATCAAAATGTCGCACTTGGGAGGGTCTAAAAATGATCACACACGCCGATATGTTGATAATAATCCAAATAAAATACAAAATAACATCTTGAACGTGTACTAATAATATATCTGTAAATATAAATATATATTATATATAATGTAATAATATAGTATAATATAATACAATAATATATCTGTAAATATAAATATGTATTATATATAATATAATATAATAATAATATAGTATATATTATAACACAATGCAATAATATATCTAAATATAAATTATATATATATATTATATATATTATATATAATATAATAATAATAATATAGTATAATATAATATAATACAATAATATATATGTAAATATAAATATGTATTATATATAATATAATAATAATAATACAGTATAATATAATACATCTGCAAATATAAATATATATTATACATAAATATAATAAATATATCTGTATTACAGGCAGTGGACAATCACCGAATTCTACTCACCCAGGTTCACCGCCAGCGATCACAGCACCGCCTCCTTTATTGTTGAACGACAAGCGACCGGGATACTATCAGGGTAACGACGGTCTACCAACCAAGAAACCACGGATATCCCATTACAAGAAGTCGGAAACGAATTCCGGATCGTCGAACCTTGGGGATAATGGAAGGACGGCTGGTAGTGGTGGTGGTAGTGGTGGTGGTGGTATTAACAGTGGTGGTAGCGGTGGTGGTAGTGCGATTTCCGGTGGAGCCGGCTGCAGTAGTGCTAATATCATCAGCAGCAGCAGCGGTGGTGTGATCGACAGTTGGGATCAGAGGCAGCATGCTCAGCGTGATCGTCGTGGCGATTGCCGGCCCGAAAGAACAGCGAACAGTGATGTGCTACGCAGCTATGGAAAACCGTGCCTGACGCCGACCAGTGACAGTGAGGAGCCGACCAGCCAGCTCGTCGTCGGTCATCGGGACGGGATCACCGGGATGTCCAGCAGCAACGCTAGCCATAGTTCTCATGGTGTAACCCATAGTATTTCTTCGAGCGGCAATCGTCATCATTATATCGGCAAGGCACCGATGCCGAGTGCCGACGGTGCAGCCAGTAGTGCGGCTGTGGATTGCGTGGCGGCGCGTCCGATGCCTAGTGTCATGAGTGACGGTAGTGGTGCAAGTAATTATAATAGTTCGAATAGAATACTCGCCGACAGGAGAGATCGAGGCGAGAGGTACGATAGGAGTCGCGTTGGCGACAGGGATCACGATTCGAGGAGGAACGAGACATCTGGCAACCAGTACAACAACATGACTGCGCCTGGTTATACGGCAACGGATGAAAATACCGTCAGCACGTCATCATGCGGTCTCGATCTGCCGGACAGCCCTAAATCGTCCGAGTATCCAGACTACCTCACGTGAGTATTCTTCAAATTAATAAGACGCTAACAGGTAATGCTTTAAAAGGAATGCGAAAAAAATTCATTCACTGAGCTAGTAGAGGACTCTCCGTGACAATTCTGACAGTTGTTTCAATGTTATTTATTACTTCTCTCTCTCTCTGGAAAACTGAAGAGTTCTGGACTGAGAGGGGTGTTAGGCCAGAGATGTCCCCACGTTGTTCAACTTATACATTGTAGATTTGGGAGACAGGAGATGAGGAAGATGATAGAAGGAGGAATCATAATAGGGAAAGAAAGGGACTATGGAACTTGGTTTATGCGGATGACGTAGTCCTAATTGTGTCAGGCGAGAACGGGCTAAAAGAAACGATGAAAAAGTTTGCGAAAATCTGTAGAAAGGAAGGGAATGAAACTTAGTGCGGGAAAATCGAAGGTGTTTAAAAAAAGGGGGAAAGAGAATGGAGGATAGAAGAAGAAACAGTCGAGGAAGTGCAGGAATTAAAGTACTTAAGAAATAAGCCGAAAGATGATAGACATAATAGTACGCAAAGAAAGGGAGGAAAGAGTGGAAAGAATAAAGAATTCTAATTACAACAGAGACTACAGCGAACTAGTTACAGAAAATTTGCCAGAAAGAAGAAGGAAAGACGTATGATAGCTAGATTTAGGTGCGGGAATGAGTGGACAGGGAGGACAGCATTGGGAGGAGGAGGAGGAAAGGATGTGCACGTATGGAGAGACGGAGGAAAACATAATGCATGTACTCGTGGAATGCGCATACACCATTCTCTTGCTGATAGGAGAATTTCTAGACGAAAATGGAAGAGGAGTGGAAACCATGAGGAGAATCTTGGAGGAGAGTACAAAGAGCAATGAAGAATATTTTAACACAAAGAAAACCAAAGAATAGCCAAAGAAAGAAAGTAGCGATTCAAATAGACAAGCCAAAATCTAACACTGAGTTTAGAATTTATGGTTTATTGTTTATAGCTCATAGCTTAATGTGTTGTTTTAGGTTAAGGAAATTTACGACTGATAGTTAGTTACATTTAAGATGATTTAAGGTAGTCCAAGTATCAACCAGAAGCCATCGTTAAGCCGCAAGGCAGCAGTATTATGTATAATAAATAAAATAATAAATACTTCTCTCTCTGAAAATATACGTGTTAATACGAGAATTTTCATCAAGCTGTATATTAACGTACTCGTATTTGAATTGCTTGCAGTTACTACACGACAATAAGCAGTGCAGAACAGAGAAGACGTTACAAGGCAGAATTCAACGCGGACTACGAAGAATATCGGAGGTTACATGCTCAAGTGGCAAAGGTATCTAAACGGTTTACGCAGCTGCAGGATCGTTTGAAGCGCGAACAAGCCTGTGGAAATTGGAACGAATACGAGGTATTATATATTATATATTATTATTCAGAAGTATTATTATAATAAAAAAAGATCGATGATTTTATTTGTTCTTGTTCCGTGTTTTGCAGGCAATCAGGCAGCTAATTCTTTACGAGTATAACGAGACTAAACGCGATCCTAAACATAGGGAAACGAAACATCGATTTCATTATCTGCACGAAAAGCTTAGCCATATTAAACGGTTGGTACTGGAATATGACACGCAGAATATTGGTGGTATGACGACTAATAACGCTGATAGTAGCAACGAAATCAACGACGTGAACAGTTTGCACTACTGACACAAACTGAAAAGGCCGTCTCTTGTTCTCTACTTTTTCTCGGTTATCGATACGCTGCTGTCTTCGTTGTCGAAGAGTTTGCATTTTCTCGGCATGTTCCAAGGCTGATAAGAAAAAAAAAAAAAAAAAGAAAGCGGCCCACATGGTTCCTGGGTTCTATCTCGCCGAAAACAAAGTCAAGTACTCTCTAAGCCGGGATTGCAAGAATACGTAGAAATTTTCGTTCAGAGAACCTTGAACGCCGTTATTAAAACGAAAAAGAAAAAAAAAAAAGAAAACAGAAAAGAAACAAAAAGAAACAAAAAGAAATTTGCGAAAGTCGAGGATTTCTCTTCCGTGAATCATTTGTGTGCGCGACTCAACGACGACCTCTTCGACTTACGCCTGTTGTGTGATCGCGAGCGATCAACGCTTGCGTGCTACTTCAAACCAATGGTAACCAGATTGACAATGGGGCTTTTTAAAGACAATCGGTAATGATTCAAAGGAGAAGAATGAAGAAAAAAGGAGAAGAAATCCAATCCACTCCAAAAAAAGAGGGAGAGAGAGAGAGAGAAAGAGAAAGAGAAGTCCAATCCACTCCAAAAAAGAGGGAGAGAGAGAGAGAGAAAGAGAAAGAGAGAGAGAAAGCAATGAAAAAAGGGCATTCGCGGAGAACCAGGTATAAACACGTGAACTAAAAGAAGTACGCTGAAACTACTACTAAGAGACATTTCTTGAGAAGAAAGGACTTTTTTGTCCTCCGACAGGAAGAAATAATAGGGGGAAAAAAAAGCGAAGGGAGAAGAAAATTGAGAAAGCGGTAATTAACTTCGTGTACGTTAATTAGTATGCAGAATTAATTGCCTTCTCAATTCTCTTTTTTCTTGTACGCACGTCCAAGTGTGTCGTCCACAGTTTAAGAATACATTAGATTAAAAGAAAAAAGAAAAAAAAAAAAGAATCCACAATGCGAATGTGAGAAAAGGGTCCAAAAGATAGTAAAAAGGGCTTGTCACGTGCCACGTCCGAAGGAGACCATATTTCTTTTTTCCGCTGGAAGAAAGAAAGAAAGAGAGACTAGCACAGACTGTCCACGAGCTGCCGGGAATCGTATATAAGATCTGCTGCTTGCCATTTTCTTTCTTTCTTTCTCTTCTGTTCTCCTTTTTCCCTTCATTTCTTAGTATCTTTTTTTCTTTTTTGTTTTTCTTTTTTGTCTTGCAACTTTGTTCTTGCTTGTCTTAAAAGAAAAAAAGAACAAAGCAAATCTTTAATTCTTTTTCCGCCAAAAGAGAGAGAGAGAGAGAGAGACCATTTATACTTTGCAAATCCAGGACAGTTCTTTGTTACTTCTTCGTTCTCTTCATTTTTTTTTTTTTTTTCCTTTTTCCTTCACCATACCTTTAGTAAAACAAAAAAAATGATACAATCATTGGGAATCGACCAATCGCAACAATTAAAATAAAAAAAAAAAATAAAGAGAAACAAACGTGGATATAATGAAACAAAAAAAGGAAGGACAAGGATACGTTAAGCAGTCTTTCTTTAGAATTATCTAAAGTGATAAGTAACAAAGCGAATCAGGCGATCGCGTGCAGCGAATTGTAGTGGCCGTACTTTTATGCGTCAGATATCCGCGAAAGAGGCAGAATTGAGATTTAGGTGAAACGAAAGTGAAACGAGAAATAAAATGGACCCTGTCGCTACCAAATCGCGTGATCGCTCGCAATGATTCTGGTTGTGTATATCGTTACGCTAGGGTAAATCCGTTTTATATACAATTTCGAAGCTATATCAGTCATTATCGACGCCGGATGGAAAGAAAACCGTTTGACATACAGCGAAATAAAAATACGAAAAGAAGAAGAAAAAAAAAACGAACGAAAAGTTAAAAACCTGGAAATGAGATGAGAAGAAGATAAAGTACGAGAAAATGGAAATGTTAGAAAGAACATAGGATTTCATATAGTGATTATTTGATTGTCGTCGGCGATGAAAATATGATATACAATGTGATGTACGCGCATACTGTATAACACATTGTAATAATCATAATTATTATTATTACTATTATTATTATCATTATCATCATCATCATCATTATCAATTATTATTAATATTAAATATGCTATTGCTAATATTATTGTTCAGATAGTTAGCCAGATAGGTGAAGCTCGAAATCTTCGTTAGTGAACGAAACGAAGGAAACGATATTATAGATGTATCGAGCCAATATTTTCCATTGAATGTATAATGAAAGTTTACAATGTTAATGTTTCCGATGTCCTCTTGTCTACTTATTACGATCTATTCATTTTCGAACGCGTATGCACGTTGGAATGGTATCTTAAACTGCAATTTTCAATTCCCAAACGTATAGCTCTTATATATTTTTTTCGTCTCCGTTCTACTTCTTCTTTTTTCTTTTCTTTTCTTTTTTCGTTTTATTAGATAAATACAGTCGCCTTTTATATTTATACGAGAGTGTCTTTCTATTTCGCGTACGGTTTTGTTTCACATTCGATAAGTATTCGCAGCTAGCTGCGCGAGTGTTTTGTGATAGAAAATGGAGGAGCTGAGAGACATGATAAGGAGAAAGGAGCTCGTATTAAGTAAGACTCGTATTTAATTGCGCACATATAATACCGTCGAAACTAGGGAGATAATTATCAGATATTGTAGGACTTTTACACTCTTTATAAGACATACACTTGAACTTTCTTCTTTTTCTTCTTTTTTAACGTGATTGATTACTTGAAAATAAGAAAAAGGAACACGTTGATTCTTAGACGTTTCATATTGAAAGTTATTGATTTTCAAGTCACTTTTACAAGATAATTTTGTTCTTACATTATCGCATTGTCAATGTGTTAAAGTTAATCTAATTTAATTTCATCTAGTTTGTGCATTTTGTTTCAACATAATACGAATCGTTTATTTTTTCCTTAGTATATTCTTGTTTAAATTTAAACGTAACCTGAGCATATTATTAGTACTAAGATTGATCAGAGTACCGAAACGTCCAGTTGTTAACGATTTCTTTTTTTCCCTTTCTTTTTTTTTTTTTTATTTTTCTAACATATATTTGCGTTTCCGTAGTTAAAGTTCGTTTTAATTGGAAAGAGAAGTTTGTTGTATTTTTATTGAAAACATTATCGTGCATCGTTTAGTTGCGCCTCTTTGTTTTGTTTCTTTCTATTCGAGTCCCACGTGTTACTTACGACGAGAAATATCAGTCGACGTTTCTAGTTCGCTAATAGTTTTTAAAGCGGCAGCGAATGTTGCATAAATTTTGTGATCAGCGTTTCACATGTAACTACATAGTAACTTAACTCGGTTGTCGCATTTTTAAAAAAGACATACATGCGACGTAGTCTTTTGGAACATTGTAAAATAATTGATTACATTTGAGTTTGCATACAACGAGTATCGAGATTTTATGATGTGCTTTGTGCCCCGATTGATTAGTAATGTAAAAACTGTTTCTGTTAAAAATTGTTCCCCGTCTTGGAAGATTTTCGAGCGAAGAGAAGACAAAAAATTTTTTTATGTTACCTGTTTTATATAGAATTATTGTTTGCTCCTTGAACATTGCTTTAGGCTTTATTGCTACTTGTTTCATATGGATTCATTGTTCGCTCCTCGTGTAAAACTTCCTGTGCAATGTGTTTTGCTTGTTTTCTTTTCTTACGTATTCGTGCTGACTCGCAAAATTGACGAAAAAAGAAATATGTATGTTGCTGAATATATGTTATACCGTGGCATAAATATCTGAGGAGGTTGGTTGAAATATAAAATTTGATGCGATCGGACGATGATCGAGAAAAGAAAGGAACGAGAATAATCGAAATGTCGGATGGTTTCTCGTGCAATGAAAGGAGAGGGAAATCGAGCGCTGTTGGTGTATGTATGGCACAGTGTTGACAAGTATTTTCTATCAATTGCAACGAATTTTGAAGAATGCGAAAACACACATGAAAGAACACGGATAAAAAAGAACGGGATAAAGTTAACCTATTTTTATATGTTAAAAAAAGAATATACCTATATAAGTAAATAAATAGATATATAGATAGATAGATAGATAGATAGATAGATAAATAGATAGATAGATAGATAGATAGATAGATAGATAGATAGATATAATACGTATATACGATTATAAAATCTATCGTGTGTGTGTGTGTGTGTGTGTGTTCACGGAAGTAAACGAAAACTGTAAGAGGAAAGTTAATACCAAAATATATGTGGGTTGTAACTAAAAAAATATAGGACTCAATTAATATATTTCGTTGTTACTCGGACTTGGACTATGTTTCGTTTTCTTCTTTTTTTTTTCTTTTTTTTTTTTTTTGTAAGTATAAAACGATAGGTAATCTTATTTTTACTCACTCTTTCCCTTTCGCATTTACAAAACGGAAACAAGAAAAATGTAATAAAAAAACAATATGAAATAATTAAATCAATGCGTTTCCTTTCACTCTCATTTCATTTACACTTCATCGCATTTTATAGGATAGCTGTCGAATAACGGAGTGAACCGCGATGTATGTATTATAAAATTCAATTCAGGTATAACGCGTAAAATTAAAAAGGGAAAAATGGAGGGAAAAAATTTCCACGTGTGTGTGTGCGCGCGCGCGTGTGTGTGTGTGTGTGTGTGTGTGTGTGTGCGCGTGCGCGCGCGTGTGTGTGTGTGTGTGTGTGTGTGTACGTGTGCGTGTGCGCGCGCGTGTGTTGATTTTTTCAACACTGTCACACTGTGCCATACATATGCGTTTGGTGCACGATGGTTCAGTAGAAAAATTTAAAATTATAAATATCCCGACCTTTTTCGTTTTGTATTATATTTGCGCGTTGAGATTACACATAAGAAATATACTCTACCGATACGTTACACTTTCAGATCATTCCTACATTACGAATAATAATAAAACTTCGAGTGAAATTCTTTAATTCAAATAATACAACAGCGAAAGTGACCAATCCAAGAAACGAAAGAATTCGAATTTAGATTCAACTCTTTGTAAGTAATATGTTGCTTAAGATTTCCTGTTCCTTTGATTAACTTCCGCTAGCTTTTACACGCACGAAAGTTTTCCCCCCGAAAGAAACTCCAAACGTTCGTTTCACTCCGACAATCAACGCGTGTACAAAACAATAGAGAGTGTAAAATTTGTAAAATATCAAGAGTGTAAAACATCCTCCGAGTCATTCGAACGTACATTACATATACAACGATAGTATACGTAAGAGCAGAAGAAACAGACAGTGCCAG